ACCTCCTTTCTCCAGTAGATCCGATACCTTTGATGGTTGCTTGGTTTGACTGTTTTGTTCTGATTTTCTCCCATGTGAACCACTTCTTCTGCTCCATAGAAATTTCCAAAAACTCAAAGACCCTCAAGTCCCAGGGAGGTGGGAGAAGCGGCTCACCTGGTTCTTCCTCAGGACCCAGCACGCATGGTGTGCTTCTTTGGAGCAGAGTCATAAATAAGACTAAGTCTGGGTCAGGTGCAGTGGCTCATGCCTGCAATCCCAACACTTTGGGAGGCCAAGGCAGGCAGATCACAAGGTCAGGAGTTCAAGACCAGCCTGACCAACATGGTGAAACCCCGTCTCTACTAAAAAAAGAAAAATACAAAAATTAGCTGGGTGTGATGGCACATGCCTGTAGTCCCAGCTACTCAGGAGGCTGAGGGAGGAGAATCCTTGAACCCAAGAGGCAGAAGATGCAGTGAGCCGAGATGGTGCCACTGCAATCCAGCCTGGGAGACAGAGCGAGACTCCATCTCAAAAAAAAAAAAAAAAAAAAAAAAAAACACTGTAAGTCTGAACTCAGCCAGCCCTGGGTTCCAGGTCAAGCTCCTCCCCTTGATTCATGCCTCAGCGTCTTCTTCTGTGTAATGGGTGAGTGCAGGAAGTACCCCAGGGTTCAGTGCAACCGGTGGGGGTCACCCCCTGGGGTCCTCCAGAGGGTCAGAGCCTGGGCCACATGCGGAGAGGGGAACACCCCATTCCCCCACCCTCAAGGCTCTCAGAGTGGCCAGGGGACAGACACACAGAAAGGAACTCCATCAATCTGCGTAGAGAAACATGTGCACCAGGTCCTGCAGCAGCCACAGCCAACTCAGTGCACCAAGAGAGAGGGTGAAGCCCCTTAGCGAGTGGAGGTGCCCTGGCGGAGGGAGCTGTAGAGGCTCAGGCGTGGAGCCTGGACGGGGGCACGAGCTTCTGGGTGGACTAGAGGGCCAGGCTTCTGCTGGTGGGGAGTGGGCCAGACAGCATGAGACTGGAAAGGAAAGAAAACAGCCCTAGGTTGGAAGGGGACACTGGCATCTTTCCCCCGGGGGGATTTCTGCACCAAGGGATGCGCCTCACAGTCATGCCCCTAGGTCCTAAGTCACTCTGCCTGGAGTAGAATCTCAGCCCGCCCTGTGCCGGCAGGTGAGCCAGGCCAGGCTGCTCACATACCCAAGTCTGTCCTCTGTGAACCGTGGGCACCACCACCTCTGTCCCGTGTGAGGATCGCATGGGATCATGATTGGAAACCTTGAGGCAGTGCTTGACACGCAGTACACATGGATCCCTGTTCATGGAGGAAGATAGATTTTGAAAAACCTAAAGCAATAACTCTGTTCCTTTCTTTATTCCCAATGTAGCTGCAGCTCGGCGGGTGAGTGTTATTGGAATCGAAGGCTGGGAGTGACTCGTGCTGGTCTCTCTCCTGCCTGCTGGCCCCTCTCAATTCCTCTCCGTTGCTTTTCGCTTCAAGATCGCTCTTCTCTGTGGCATGCAGGGAGTTTTCCTGAGCTGGGTAGCAGGTTGATTTCATTCATTTCTACGGTGCCTCGAATATCTTCCATCGCCCACAAAGACATTGTTTTATTCTACGAACACACCTTTGCTGACATCTCACTGCTTTCTGTACAAAACAGTCATTTTGTCTAACATTGAGGTGTCTAAAATAATAACTATAAATAGGGAAGGAAGCAAATTAACATCCAATCAGAGCAGAGAAATGTGGCCCTGATGCAAGCATTTGGTTTAGAGATGAAACCCCTTCCCAGACCCGCCTCAGCAAGTGGGAGACAGAGGGGGACGTCTGTCAAGCTTAGCAAACATCTGTAGTCCAATTACAGTCAACAGTTTACAGGTGCTGAGCGCAAACAGTCACTTACACACTACCCTCCCAAATGCATTCTCTTAATCTCTCTTAGAAACGAAAGCACACATTTTTCCAGGGTTCTTTATCCAAAGTGCAGAGAGAAGAGCTCCTCCGGGCCAGCCGTGGTCCTCCTACCTGGGTGAGGCAATGGCAGGCCAGAGAACTGCTGGCCAACGTGCCAAACACCCAAACCCCCAGCCAGGGGCTCTCCAGCCTCCCCAGGCAGAGTCCCAGGCTCCACCCCAGGAGGTCCAGGTTCTGCAAATCCCAGGGGTGGGGGAGGGGGAGGGGGGAGCGGCATAGGAGAGAGCCTTTTCCTGATGCTGCCAGCACTGTCTGTGGGACAGGCCATGATTCCCAAATGCTAGTGGCAAGAGCACAGACTGAAAAGACCGTTACAAGGTCGCTTCCAGCCCCACTCCCAAAAGCTCCAAGTCTGTGGGTTTCAGGTGGAGCCCAGGAATCTGCATTTTTCATGAGTTTCTCTATGATTTTGATGCAGATGATTGTGGACCAGAGGTGGGCGTGGCAGGGAATCCCTTCAACATTCAGAATCAAGGCAGCAGGTCTGGAGTGGGGCCTGAGTTTCTGCATTTTAAACGAGCTCCTGGGGGTTCTTGATGCTGCTGGTCTGGGGACCTCACTCGGAGTGACAGGCTGCAGACCGTTCTTCGGAGCCACTGCTTTGTATTTTAGGCCATATTTTTCCTTTCTCTCTCAGCAATCTTCACTGCTGCATGCACAGTAAGTCTGATAAACCAATGCTCTCTACTGGACTCCCATCAGTTACTGCAGTGTTTCTGAAACTATGTGTTTCTGAAAACACGAGCTCCCGTAAGACATTGCAGACTGTGTAAGAAGCTTTCTTTGAACAAGTAAGTTGGGGCCATGCTGTGTGCGCCAGGGTCCCGGCTCTGGGTGAGGACGCTGGCACTGCAGCGTCCCCCAGGCCTGCCCTCTGCACCTCCCTCTGCCTGACTGTGTAGTCGAGTCAGGAGGACTCCAAGAGCGACTTTACATAAAGCTCCCACGCCTGTACCTGGCATGCAGCTAGCACCTTGTAAGGGCTGGTTGTTGTCAGGCTCTGCCCTTTCTGGAAGTCACACTGCACTTCAGTAGACTCAAGACTCAGACATTCAGTAGCAGAGGGAGACGTGCTTAACCCAGTGTTTGCCGTGCAGAACCACCCGCTCCCGGCCCCCAACCCTTCCCTCCACGCTTTTCTTTTTCAAATTGGCACCTCATCAGCACTTGAAGTTTCACAGAGTACATTCCAGCAAATGCTAGGATCTGTGATGCCTCTCCAGAGAAAGAACTCGCATAATGCTCAGGCCTCCTGCAGACAAAGGTGTAGCCCCAGCGATGGAAATTTTAAGAAAATAGACCAGGGACACAAGACAAGAGAGCTGTCTTGGTGTCTAAAGCAGTCTTGGACAGCTTCTGATGTCACTTGAGCAGTGGTGAAGTTCCTTGAATAAGGAGGAATGCGGAGGCGGCATCTTCCAAAGGGACTGGCCCAGGGTGGAGGAATGGAATTCTCTGTCCATGAGGATCTTGGATGGGTCTGTTCATGAAAACTCACTGGCTATGCGTGACCTCTGAGTGAGTCAAAATGTCCAGCCATGCCAACTGGTAACCTCTTCTTCTCCCGCCAGGTGGGGAGTGGGACAAGCGCGTAACTGAGGCAAGTCCAGGCTGGGGCAGATTTCAGGTCTCCTGACTAGTTCCATAGTAACAGTTGCAAAGCCCAGTCTGGCCTTGTAATGCTCTGGGATGTAATGCTCACCCTGCTCCCCTGAGGTCATCTAAAATCTGGTTTCCTTAAGTGTAAGGCGGAGCTCTAAGCAAGAGACCACCCTGCCCCAATGGTGGGGGTTCTGGGAGGGAGAGAGGGGAGCGGCTGGTCTGTAGCTTTCTCTACTCACTCGCCCAAGTGGACTCTGATCTTGGAGCTCAACAGTGCCACTCAATCTTCCACCCTCTCCTTTGCAACCTATTTCTTAAACCAGAACGAATGTATTCTGGACATAGAGCCCCTGCAAACCCAGACAAAGAAAATTCGATGTATCTGAGGAAACAAAACCACGTTTTTTAAAAATCTCCAAGTCAAAAGGAAACGAGCCGAAACATTTACTCACTGTCCAGGCTGTACATGTATTTTACCTGACGGCCCTTAAAGAAGTGACCCTGTGTTCAGCAATCACCCACGCAGGGCAAAGGGACCTGGAGCCGCCGCCTGCGGGCGCAGACACTCCGGACAGCTCCTGTCTGCGAATCTCTTCCTTCCTTGGAGCTTCTCCTTTCTTTCTCGGCCTCTGAGGCCCAGCAGTGTGCTTTGATGCACACACAGGAATTAGCACTGTCCGTAATCCTAAGGGCACGTCCCTAGCTTGAGTTTTCCTGAGCTATGAGTGGGAAGGTCTGCAAAGCCCCGCAGGCTGGAACCTCAGCCTGTCCCTCTGCTCATCTGCTCCAGGTGGCGACCCTCACCCCTGAGCTGCCTGACTTGGGTTCAAGGCCATGGGGTAGGCCTGGGTCAGGGGAGTTGGGAGACACTTGAAAAACGAAGGGACAGGATGGAAGCGCCCACTCCCACGGAGGGCCCAGGCGAGAAATTGGACTAAGACCCCCGCGGGGGCGCCGCATCCAGAAGGGGTGCCCCGGGTTTGGAAAGGAAACCCCAGCGCTGTCTTCAGTCTCCACACCCCTGCTTTTTTTCCCCGGAGACCGAGCGCCCTTGGCCTCTTCTGCCGCAGCCGGGCTCCCGGCGTCCAGGGGGTCCTGGGATGGGCTGGGCGGGCCGGCTGGCGCGGCGCTGGGGGCGCGGGCGCGGGGGGCGCGGGCGCGGGCGCTGCGCCTTTAAGGCCCGCGTCGGCAGAGCCAGCGAACGAGCGCAGGGGCCGGGCGGCGGGGCGGGGCCTCGGCGGGGCGGCCGCGGCTTCACCTGCAGCTCCGCGCGCGCGGAACAGAGGCGCGGGCGGCTGCGAGGCCGGCGGATACCGGCCCGAGGGAGCGCGCCGCCCGCCGGACTTGGCCTGGCTCCCGGAGCCGGGGCGGCGAGCGCGGCGGGCGCAGCGGGGCTGGAGGCTCCGGGCGGGCGCGGGGGAGCGGCGGCGGCGGCGGCGGCAATCGGAGCGGCGGCGGCGGCGGCGGGGAGCGGGCTCCCGGTGCCGGGCACCGGGCGGGCGCCGGGGAAGATGACCGCGGGCGCCGGCGTGCTCCTCGTGCTGCTCTCGCTCTCCGGCGCGCTCCGGGTAAGTTGCCGCCTCCTGCCCCGGCCGCGCGGAAGCCCCGGGCAGCGCGAGGTCGCCCCAGAGCCGGCGGGGCGCGCACACACCCGGCGGGACTCCCCGGGCTCTCCCGCCGCGCTCCCCGCTGCATCCAGCTCGGCGCCCGCGCTCCGCGAAGCTGCCTGTGGTCGGCGGGAGCCGGGAGCCGGGAGGGCAGCGGGGAGTGGAGGAGCCGGGAGGGAGCGGGGCTCGGCAGGGGGCCCGGGGAGGGAGCTTCGCCTACACTGGACCCGCCGAGCGTCCCTCTGCCGCCCCGAACCCGCGGCCGCTGCCCGGAGCTCGGCTCGCCCGCGCGGGGCAGGCTTCCCTCTAGCGGAGCCGGCGCGCCCTCCACCGCTCGGGAGCCGCTCGCCGCGGGAGTTGCCGAGCCCAGCCCTGGCCGTGGCTGCGGGCGTGCGGATCCGGGAGTGCAGACGCCTGCCTGACCTCTCCTGCCCGCCCGGGGCCTGGGGTCCGCCGCGCAGCGCCGCTCAGGGCTTTGGGTGCCGGCGGGACCGGCGCTGCGGGTGGGCGGCGGGTGGGAACCGCGGAGCGCCCTCGGCGGGGCTGGAGCCCGAGTGTCCGGCGGGGACCCGGCGGCTGGGAGCGGGACCGGGCTTGGGCCGGGAAGCCAGACGCCAGGCAGGCGCGGCGCGGGAGGGCGCCCCGGGAGGAGAGGGCAGGGGAGGGGACGGGAGGGCGAGCGGGTCTCCGGCTTCCTCCGCGGAGCCCCGCTGCCCCGATCGCGGCTTTGCTTTGCGCCTGGCGAGGTGCGGGGCCCGCGGGGGCAGAGTGCGCGGAGGCTCCGGGGCGCCCCTGGGCAGAGGCGGAGGCGGAGGCGGAGGGGCCGCGGGAGTTGCAGGAACCCCCTCTCGTGGCGGATCGGCCTCGCTGCCTCCTCCCGGGCCGCGCTGTTGTAACCTCGGAAATAAACAAGTGCTGTAGGCTGGAGGCCCGCTCCGAGGCCGGGGGCGCGGGGGGGTGCGCTGGGCACTAGCCCCGGGCGGCCCGAAACTTTCCCGGACGAGTTGAGCCTCCCTCCGGGCTGCGGGTGAGATTTGGAGCTTCGCGGCCGAGGAGGAAAGCCGCGGTCTGGAGCTTTTCCTAAGGAAGGACCCCGTGTCGCGCCCTCCTCCCTCGATCCTGGGGCAGAGGGGCGCCCTCCGCGGGGCTGGCGTCAGGAAGCCTGGAGCTCGGGCTGGGGGCGGCCTCCGGAGCCGAAGCACGGGCGGGCGACAGAGGGGCGCGGGGCTGGAGGAGGCGGCGCGCAGGAGGTGCCACTGCCCAGTACGGGCTGCGCCCGGGGCTCCCTGCGCTCACCGGGGAACCGGGGAACTCAGCACCGCCGTGCTCCTGCTCCTGCCGCTCCTGCTCCTGCAGCGGGGCTGGCTTCCCGCTCGCTGGCACACACACCGCACGCTGCCTCTCCCTCCACCACCGCCTCCTGCCTGTCACGCCCCCTCCTAGAAGCTTGGGAGAGGGCCCTGTCGCCCACCCATCCTTCCCTGGCCTTGTGCCACTGGCTCTAGACTTCCCCACTGAGCGTGAGTGGCGAGCGAGCTCCGGAGGACAGGAGGAGACCCTCTCTGCCGTCAGTTAGAGGAGCTGTCTCCCTGCTTGGGCTGGAGATGGTGGCTCTGAGGGTGGAAACGCAAGCTGAAGACTAGAAGGCTGGCGCGCCCCCACCGCCTCCTCCACCCCAGCCCCGGCAGCCTCCTGCAGAGCTGCCGTCTTCGCCCTGCGCTGAGCCTGGTCCTAGAGAATCTTCTTTCTTGCTGTCCTCCTTCTCCTCCCTCCGGTGACCCGGAGACGAGACAGGAAGCCGCCGCCTCTGCCTTACCAAGAGCACGAAGCGGTGGGCCCCAAGAGCTAATGGTCTGAGCAGAGCCGCCCACGCTTTCGCCTCGCTGCCCTTAGTGGCTTCGGGAGCAGCGGCAGGAGTCCTCTGCCTCGGTCTTTTGGACATTCTTCAGGCATCTTCTCTGCCCATACGGCGCTGACCGGCCAGGCTTCGCCATCAGTCAGTCCTTCATTGCCTACAGCGCATCCTGCTGTGTGTGGGGCTGGGGAAGGATGCTCTGGGTCTACAGCCTCCAGAATGCGCCCTGAAGTCCCCAGAGAGCAGAGGAGCGGTCGGGATTTCGCGTCTGGGTGGACCTCGGCCTGCCAGCCGTTCTCTCTTAGCCAGAGACTCTTCTCACAGCAGGCCCCGGGTACATGTTGGTTGCACTAAATGTCTGTGAACTGATTTTTGTTTTACCCTCTCTTCTTTCTGTTCTCAGGCCCAGAATGAGGACCTTACAACCAGAGAGACCTGCAAGGCTGGGTTCTCCGAAGATGATTACACGGCATTAATCTCCCAAAATATCGTAGAAGGGGAGAAGCTACTTCAAGGTAGGGCGGGGTGTGGAGGGTGGGAGTGGACCGCTGTCCTGCTTTTCTTTGGGGTGGAGAGGCCAGGCTTGCCTGGTATTTGTGCTCTCTGCGAAATGGTGGTTGTGAAGTCAACGAGGTGCAAAGGTCGACCTGAAAGGCGTTTTGCATAACAGGTGAATGATTCAGAATCCCTGTCATTTTTGAGTGAAATGAATCATTTCCTGGGCAACAAATTGCAATTCGGATGTAACATCACCCAAATAATGTTCAGAGAGAGACTTTCTTACCAAGTGTATTTATGTATGAAGTTCTGGGTACTGAAATTATCCCTGCTTTGAAATGCGTGAGAAAGCAGACGGTGTTGCTGGAAATGCGGTAAATAAGCCCACAGACGGTCTGCTCGCAAATGTGGCATTCATTTTCATTACTGCCCCACTGACAACAGGAAAACACACATGCAGGAGGGAACTACCAATTAGCTTTATCGTAATTGCAGGATTATATCCACATTTGTGACAGGAAAGTCAGAGACAGCTTCAAAACTCAGATGACAGTCGATCACCCTGCTGATTGATCTGTTTCCCTTTCAAGACAAACTAATTAAACTTCATATTTGCATAGAAGGGGACATAAATCAGTTCTTCCTTCGCGGAGGTTGCAGAGCTGTGCCATGAGCACCTTGGCTATGAGCCTTTCCTCTCTGCCTCAGTTCCCCAGAAGTGGCAGCCTTTGATTTCAAATCCATAGAGGAAGAGAACTTTGGATAAAGTATGGAAGCTAAATTTTAGCATTCAGGGTTGTTAACCATCCTACTTGTTTTGTGTCCCAGGGAATGTTGACTTTTCCCTCCGGAACTGACAGCAGTTACTGTGTGTGTGTACACGCGTGTGCATGAACTCAGGCTTATAGCAAAGTGATTTTTCAGATTCTCGCCCTTCGAGACAGAGCTTGTTGACGTGCCTTGTTGATTCCTGCTTATGTGGATTAGGATTTTTATTTTGCTCCGAGTCCAAGTTTTCTGACTTATCTTTGCTATCTAAACTGTGATATTATTGACTCATTAATGAGCAAAACATTTAAAAATCTCTAGGCAGTTGGCCTGGGAGCAGAATGGATGTGCTAAGAGGGCATACGTGGGAAAGACCTTTCGAGAGCCAGTCTGCTAATTGCGTTGTGTGTGCCACTTTAAATGGGTTAGAATGGGCAGGAGTTAGAAGTTAGAACGGAGAGGTCATTTTCAGGATTGTTTGGTTTACTGAGAATCCAGTGGACCCCCAGAGAAGTACTGGGGATCCCTCACTCTCAGTCCATTGTACGGTCCCTTAGAACTCACGGAGCGCTGACTGCAGCCTGCTGTGCCCACGTGCTGCCATGCTGAAACCGGCATCCTTAAGCTCTCTGATTATGTGGCCAATGTGATAAGACCTTGGAGTATCCATTTTCCTCAGGCACTTAAGAAACATGCCTCTCTTTTTATAAATAACTACTGCTTACCACAGAAGAGAGTGGCCAATGCTCATACATTCTACAACACAACGTGAGATTTCAAACCAACACCTCTTCCCTTTCACGGAGAACTGCGCGGGTACCTCCACTCTCGGGGGTCCAGGCCAGACGGTGCTCTGCTCTTGGCCAGTGTGGTGGGGAAGCCGAGATCACTGGCCAGATATCAGCCTGGCTCCTGTGCCCATGTGGTGTTTGCCTCCTGGGGGACCAGAAGTCACATGACCCTGGGTGAATCTGGACCAGCTCGGATACTTTGTGGACTCATTTTCCAAGCAGCCACTGACTTACGTGTGCAGCCCAGGCCAGGGCGGTTCGGGGAAAAATTGCGGACAATCCCCCGAGCACCTGGCCATGCAGGGTCTTCTCCGCCCCTCCTCTGGGGGGCTGTGGTCCCATGGCTTCTCTTGTGCCTGGTGGGTCCCATTCTTACTGTTTTCTTCCACGGGTTCTTCTGAAGGTGTAGAGTCTCAGGAAGAAAGAGATGTTTTGTATCTTACAAATAACTTTGCACGTATGGAGGCAGGAGCCAAGGCTGACGTGCGTGAAGCCGGGCACAGTGACATCGCTCTCTGTACACGGAGTGCTTTGAAACTACGGGAACACGGCGAGGAGGCCTGTGTGAAGAGGAGCAGGGAAGCATGGTGGCGTTTCTGTTATTCTGGTAGGAATCGAGTTAAATAGATAATGACTACTTATAATTGAGTTATTCCAGCAGAGAGAACTTAACCTTAATTTGACGAGTGAAGTTTCAGAGTGGCCGTGTTCTTTCGAGCAGGCCATGAGCTGTTTGTGACTGTTCCGTGGCTCCTTCTGTCTGCCTGAGTCAGCTCTCAGCAGCCCCAAACATACAGATTCCAGCAGGAGCGATTTGTTACACAGTAATTAACTTGTTTATGATAAATGGATGGAAGAAATGTCGTGGCATTTTGTTTTATGTCTAATGAAAAGCATTTGCATTCTAAAAATTTCATGCTAATTAGGCTTAAAATAGTTTTCCCCAATAGGGTAGCAGATACTCTGTATCACGGACCTTCTGAGAAGCGGCCGCGAAGCACGGAAATGCGGGAGTTCGCTGCTCGTCCGTAGCCTTCCTCGACACCGCTCCCATGTTCCCTGTCTGAGCTTTTTCTGGAGAGCCTTTGAATATAATCACATATGCTCCTATGCTATAGTTTTGTTTTTAGGATAATTCGCTTCTGGCCCTGATCACTGATGCCTGGTGATATCTAAAATAGGAAGGCGAAGCCCTTTGCCTTAGGCTAAAATGCAGTGTTCTCTAAGCTGTGGTTTAGGCTGGGGTGATGGCTAAGCTGGTGTCTTTTTCTCTGCGTTGTTAATAATTAATGGCCAGGCCGCCCGGAAGCTGAAGCCTGGTACAGTGACCGGCATTGCTCTCCCTCGCAGTGGGCAGAGTCTAGGCATGCCCAAGCCCGTTTCACAGCAGAAAACTCGTACAGGTGGGAGAGTCCTGGGTGGCATAGTGGGAACTGAGGACTCCCGGGTCATACCTCCCCTTTGTCCTGGAGTGAAGCGGGGACAGGTGAGTGCAAACACTGCTCCCTGGGGATGGGGCGGGGCCTGGCGTCATCAGATTAACGTGGGTTCACTGTGGGCCACATAGAAGCAGGACCTTGTTTCTGATGGCTGAACGTAACAAGACATCCTCAGCAAAACCCTCCCTGTCCCCATTTCTCCGTCAGTTTAGGCCCGTCCTGTGGACCCGCGGACCTCGCTCGGCCTCCTTGCTGAAGAACCTGCATTATCTGGCCAGCCATCTCTGTCACTTAAACTCTCAGGCTTCTGAGGGCAAGAGCTCCGTCATTCTCATTTTCTATTTATGTCATTTCAGGATGGTTTTCACCAACAGAATAAAGCCCATTTCATGTAATCTTAAATAAATGGGGGCGAATGTTTCTCAAGTGACTGTGAGTGCAGACATAGGTGGTCACAGGCCAGAGCCGCAGACAAGGGACGTGGTCACGTGCCTGCCTGATCGTCGTCTTCCTTCCTGCCATCCGCATGTGTCATTGAGTGCTTCATCACTGCAAACTGGCTGCTGTGGGTCCCGTCATTGCTTCTGGGTTCAGAGCAGGAGAAGGTGCAGATAGTAGCACCATCTGCATTTCTTCCTCGTGCCAGGAAGACAAACACTTCCTCAGCATCGCTGTAGAAGTTCTCACTGAGTAGGTCACAGGCAACTCCTAGCTGAACTGGGTGGTGGGGGGGACACTGGGAATGCAGCGAATTGCATTGTCATGTCTGTCTTAGGTCCATTATAATCCATCATGTGGTAGGTGTCCAAATTGCTCATCTCAGAACAGAACTGGGGCTTTGTTTTGGGAAGGAAGGAGGAGGGACGGATGCCGAGTAGACCTTCCCCAGCGCCCAGCACTGTACCTGAAGCAGAGTAGCAGGCAATGAATTGCTGAATGAGTGGCTGCCTCATTGGCCTGCAGAGGCATGCAGACGGAGGCATCGTTGACAAGAGCACCAGTGCAGGTGTCTGGAATCCGTATCTAAGAACCTGCCACTGTGCCACACGGCATGGCCACGAGTACTGTCATCTTGTCTTTACAGGTAGGTTGAAGACGGGCTGTTTGCCCGTGCAGTTTGGCTTGAACCACCTCTGCACAGACGGGTAATTCTTCCAGGGCGGAGGCATGCTGGATACACAGGCGAGAAAGTACGCCCGTCTCCCTGCACACCCGACATCCAGCGCTGGCCTGACGCCTGGGACTGTGCAGTCAGTGTTAGTCAAATGAAGTAATGAATGAGCCAGAAAACACTGACACTGTTTTTGTTTCCGAGTTGCTTTGGTTAACTCACAGCAGACAGGAAGCTGGTATGAATGTTCACATAAGTGACACTAACGATAAGTCAACCACGTGTGCCTAGAATTATTGGACGCTGCAAGTTGCCTGTCCAGTATTCATTCACTCACTCTCTTCCTCACCAACAAACCTCGTCTATGCCCATCCACTGACTGACGATGTGCCCTCTTTAATACACCTCTAGACTCATTGACACCAAAGTGGCAATGTGGCTTCTTTCTGGTCACTGGTATCTAATTAGGTTAGTCTATTAGGTTAGGCTTCAGGGAAAGCTGGTTTTGTTCTTGGTAACAAGGAACAAACTGAGCTGGCCATGCCTTCTGCCCTTTGCTCTTACTTCTTCCTCATACGTGGAACTCAGATGTGATGGCTGAGGTAAAGCAGCCACTTTGTGACTATGAGGATGGTGGAACACAAATTGGCTCCCAGAAGGCATCCTTGAACAATGGCAGAGGCTGGACTCATTGTCTCCTGAGTGGTGAGAAAAATAAGATCAAAACACCACACTTGGTTTTGTTGTCACGTGCAGCCAAGTGCATCCCCTGACTTAGGGAAAGCCATGCACAGTAGCAAAGTCACCCTCTGTCCCGAGCCTGGGTTTTCAGGCTCCCCCTACCCTGCAGTGTTCCTTGGACCTCGGCCACTTGCTCTTGCTTTAAAGGCCTCTCCTCTGCTCCTCTG